AAAAAAAAAAATTTTTGATTTTTGACGATTTTTGAAATTTTGAAAAATTTGGAGTGACCTCTTAAAAATTTTTTTTTGAGCTGTCCTTTGGTGAGGGTTCTTAAAACATCAAAAACTAACATTTTTTCACTCGAGACTAAAAAAAAAAATAGTTGGTTTTTTTGCGCCACCCTAATATGTATATAATTGGCTTTGTTTCTTCTCTAACTCTCGCAATCCTATTCGGTTCTCATTATTTGGACGGTTCCCGAAGTTAAGTTCGAAGATGAGCAAAATCGGTCGATTAGTTTAGAAATAAAAGCTATTCAAAAATTTTCAAAAATCGTAAAAATTTATATTTTGGCAGTTTCTGTCGCGGATAATTTTTTAATGAAATAACATCGAATTTATGTAAATTGAATTTTAAAGCCTTTTAAACGAGCTTTAATTTTCATGTCATTTCAATCTTCTATAGACTAAAAGTAATTTATTCATCTGTAGATATTAAAGAAATTTTACTATTGCATTCGTTTTAACTCAGGGGAAAGGGCTTCTATCAATGTGATTAAAGTATTTGTATTATTTGTGTTGTGATTTTATTTAAGTAGGAAAACTACTTTCATTTCGGCTGCGGAATAGCACTTTTTTCCGTACAGCCGTGTCATATATGGTAATAAATAAAAATTGAAATTATGAGTGAAATATTGAAGATACATAAAAATGATAAGAGAGACCGTTCTTCTAGAAAATTCAATTTTCTAAAAAATAAGTAATTGTCAATTTTATTGTATTTCTAATAGTTTACTCACAATTTTAATTTAAATTCCTTATACAAATAAATTTTTCACATAGCTGCTTCATACAGAATATTTACATCAGGATCTATGGTAAAGAATTTAAATCAAAATTACCACGAGATATTAAAGTTACAAGAAAATGACAAAAAACCCTTTTTGTAGAAAATTTCGTTTTTTACAAAAAAGTTTCACATCAATTTTCTCATATCTTTAATACTTTTAATACTCCAATACTTTACTCATAAATTTGATTTTAATTACTCTCAAATTATTTTTCCTTACAGCTGCTACATACAGAGTTTTTACATCAAGATTCATAGTAAAGAATAAAAATTAAAATTGTGGATTAAATATTGAAGATAAAAAAATTGTTGAAAAACTTTCTCTCGAACTAAGTAATTTTACTTTTAGATTACATAATTTCTAAACATAAAATCACAATTTTAAGTCAAATATAAAAAATTTATTATCAGTATTACTTAAATTTACGTAAGCTCAATTTTTCTTCTTTTGTTAGAATAACCTTTCCATTTTAATAAAGGTACTGAATACTCAAAAAATCCTTTAACCATATCAATAAAACAAAGGGAAAAGAAGAATTTTTAAAAAGTAGAATAAAAAAATAGCATAATGTATACAAAGGATAATTCAACACACGTTTTGTGAGTTTATCTTAAGGATGAGATAAAAAGAGTAAAAAAGTTTAGCTGACATATTGGGGATCGTTTTACCGTCTCGCCACATTTATGTAGCTCGTGACTCGTGACGCGTATTTTTTATTTTACACCACTTTTATTTTAGTCTTTTATCACGTCTTTACTTTTCTAGCGTATTTGGTTAAACAGCGTTGCATTTATTAGTCAAAAATACATTTTGCATTATACATCAGATCATAAGATTATCCGTCAAAAAAATTAGTAAAACGGTTGACCCGACAGAAAATAGAATTTTTGTTATACTCGCTCCAAAAGTTCAACTTTTGAGCCTTGTTCTCTTAAAAGGAATCAGTGGAATTTCACTGGTTCACCAGTGGACGTTCACTGATTCCAACCAGTGATGCAATTTCACTGGTGAATCAGTGAAATCCACTGATTGAATCAGTGAACAAAATATCTGTGCGCATGCGCGCTAGTATCTCCACTGGTTGAATCAGTGAAATCCACTGATTCGCCAGTGACATTGCATTCACTGGTTGGAATCAGTGAACTTCCACTGGTGAACCAGTGAAATTCCACTGATTCCTTTTAAGAGAACAAGGCTCAAAAGTTGAACTTTTGGAGCGAGTATAACAAAAATTCTATTTTCTGTCGGGTCAACCGTTTTACTAATTTTTTTGACGGATAATCTTATGATCTGATGTATAATGCAAAATGTATTTTTGACTAATAAATGCAACGCTGTTTAACCAAATACGCTAGAAAAGTAAAGACGTGATAAAAGACTAAAATAAAAGTGGTGTAAAATAAAAAATACGCGTCACGAGTCACGAGCTACATAAATGTGGCGAGACGGTAAAACGATCCCCAATATGTCAGCTAAACTTTTTTACTCTTTTTATCTCATCCTTAAGATAAACTCACAAAACGTGTGTTGAATTATCCTTTGTATACATTATGCTATTTTTTTATTCTACTTTTTAAAAATTCTTCTTTTCCCTTTGTTTTATTGATATGGTTAAAGGATTTTTTGAGTATTCAGTACCTTTATTAAAATGGAAAGGTTATTCTAACAAAAGAAGAAAAATTGAGCTTACGTAAATTTAAGTAATACTGATAATAAATTTTTTATATTTGACTTAAAATTGTGATTTTATGTTTAGAAATTATGTAATCTAAAAGTAAAATTACTTAGTTCGAGAGAAAGTTTTTCAACAATTTTTTTATCTTCAATATTTAATCCACAATTTTAATTTTTATTCTTTACTATGAATCTTGATGTAAAAACTCTGTATGTAGCAGCTGTAAGGAAAAATAATTTGAGAGTAATTAAAATCAAATTTATGAGTAAAGTATTGGAGTATTAAAAGTATTAAAGATATGAGAAAATTGATGTGAAACTTTTTTGTAAAAAACGAAATTTTCTACAAAAAGGGTTTTTTGTCATTTTCTTGTAACTTTAATATCTCGTGGTAATTTTGATTTAAATTCTTTACCATAGATCCTGATGTAAATATTCTGTATGAAGCAGCTATGTGAAAAATTTATTTGTATAAGGAATTTAAATTAAAATTGTGAGTAAACTATTAGAAATACAATAAAATTGACAATTACTTATTTTTTAGAAAATTGAATTTTCTAGAAGAACGGTCTCTCTTATCATTTTTATGTATCTTCAATATTTCACTCATAATTTCAATTTTTATTTATTACCATATATGACACGGCTGTACGGAAAAAAGTGCTATTCCGCAGCCGAAATGAAAGTAGTTTTCCTACTTAAATAAAATCACAACACAAATAATACAAATACTTTAATCACATTGATAGAAGCCCTTTCCCCTGAGTTAAAACGAATGCAATAGTAAAATTTCTTTAATATCTACAGATGAATAAATTACTTTTAGTCTATAGAAGATTGAAATGACATGAAAATTAAAGCTCGTTTAAAAGGCTTTAAAATTCAATTTACATAAATTCGATGTTATTTCATTAAAAAATTATCCGCGACAGAAACTGCCAAAATATAAATTTTCGCGCTAGTATCTCCACTGGTTGAATCAGTGAAATCCACTGATTTGCCAGTGACATTGCATTCACTGGTTGGAATCAGTGAACTTCCACTGGTGAACCAGTGAAATTCCACTGATTTCTTTTAAGAGAGTGGGTGGCGTCCGTAAAGGGATTTTTTTCTAGAGACTCTACCATACCGCCTTTTTTTACAGCCTAGGCCGTGAAGTTTACCTTCCCCCTTTTTTACGAACTTTTCATGTACACCCAGATGAAATTGAGAGAGATTGTAAAAAAAGTCACATTCTGGTGTACCGACCGATAATTTTGAGTAAATTTTAAACTTAGTTACTATTGAGTGGCGCTAATTATTTCTCTGCTGGCAGTTTATTGCGAAGCGGACCTAATGTTAATAAAATAACAACTACGCCATAAATAAATGTTAATAAACAGATAATTAATATAAAATAAAGTTTTTCGGCCCTCGTGCACTGAGAAAAAAAAATACTTTTATTAAGAAAATTTTCTTGATACAAGAATTCATGTTCTTGAAAATTTTCAAGAGTATATATTCTTAGCTCAAGAACTTGTTAAATTAATTGAAATAATTTTCACTTAATTTAAATAAAGCTATTCTCTTGTTCATCTATTATTCAAAGATAAATATTGATGCTCTTTTCTTCAGAAATTAATAATTAATAGTGATAGAATATTTGATCGTCATCGAATTTCCTGAACCAAGAAATTGTTAATTGAATAAAAGTATTTTTTTTCTCAGTGTGAAACTTTAAATATAAAATTTAAATATGTCATTATATGCCTACTATTCCTCAAAAGTTAAACTTATAGAGCGATAATAACAAAAAATGTTGTATGTCATTTGGCCGTTTAATGCCGATTTTGACAGCGACTTTTTTTTCGATATTCGCTTTAATGTTTGTGACGCAAATTTTCGAAAACGAGCGTAAATTTCCGTCCTCGGCTTCGCCTCGAACGTTAAAATTGGGCCCGTTTTGAACCTTCGCGACACAAACCTTAAGCTCATATCGAAATATGGTCGCTGTCAGAAAATCGTCACTTCACGGCCTTCTGACATAAATATCTATATTATACACATTTTGAGCGCTTCCCTAATCGAAAAATCGATCTCAGATGAACTTACTCGGTATATAAAAACAATCACTGAAAAAAAAGTTTTCTACGCTTCACTATCCATTGTATCGTGAACGGCATATCGCTATAATCAGGGAACGGATCCTAACGGTCGTGATCTAACCTCGAAGCGCCAGTTCTTCGGCGTAAGTTCCTAACCTCATTTGTCATTGTTTATCGACAATTATTAAGTGCATGGTGATTATTGTCGTAATTATTATTACTGGATAAAATATTTAAAATTTGGCTTCGATCATATAAATCATTATTTGAAACATATCAATAATAAATTATGCAAAATTAGTTTCTTCGTCACCGCTAGGTGTATTTAATAGATCGCTAAATTAGCAAAACGGATAGTGACCATAGCGATCCAGTGTTTCGTAACGTGCGTATGGTGACAGTAACGATACTGTATCCTGAACCGTAGCAAACTTTTTTTTCAGTGAAGTGATTTAGGCTCATGTAAATTCCTTTTTTTTTCGACTTGGGTTAGAGTTCAAAAGACTAAATTGCATTTAATAAAACACTTTTTGAAAATATTTGAGCTGCAATAACTTTCGGACATATCATTTGATTTTAAAACGCTTGGCTGCATTTAGTGTAGTTAACATAACTTTACGAAAATTGACAGAAAAAAATACGATCTGATAAAGAATTGAGAAGTATTAGAAGAATTAAATCAACCAATTTTGATGCTGTTTGCAGCAATCGATGTATTTATTTGAGTAGAAGAGCTGATTAGATCATAGAATTGATCGAAACAAGGGTGTCGAAGTAATTCCAAAAATACAATTGTTTGAAAATTGAAAAAAATCGAATTTTTGAAGTTTTTTCCGAATCTACTCTACCAATTCGGTCTAAATTTAAAGAAAATTTTAATTCAGCTTCTTTGAGATGCCGCAAATTGCTTATCGATCGGATTATCCGTTACAAACCTCCACGAAAAAAATATATAAGCCTGGATTTATTATGCTTGGGCATATGTGGTAGTATATAGACGGATATATAGACATTAATTGAAAAAAATAAATAAGGATAGTAATTACAACCATCAAAAATTGATAAAGGAAGTAAATAATTTTTGATTGTTACTGTCTTTATATGTTTTACATATATGTAATCTGGAAATATATCTGGACATATATGTAACTGGGCAAATTTTTATTAGGGTAGGGGGGGGACAAAATGGGGTAGGGGTGGCAAAATGGGGTATCCCCAAAATTTCGTAAAAAAAATTTTTTTTTCCAAAAAGCTTTTTTAGCTTTCTAAAATATATTTTAACGTCATTTCCTACAATTTCAGAAGAAAATAAATTTTTTTACATGCAGTAAAAAAATTTTCGTCAAATTTAACACAAATATTTGTGTTACTGACTGTTTTTACACAAACTAATGTTAATTCTACATTCTCGTATGTTAAATCAACACATGAGAATGTAAAATTATACACACTAGAGTGTAATTTGCTACACAAAAATTTTTACACTTTACAAATTGACGAAAAATTTTTTGTTGTGCAGTAATTTTTATCGTCATTGTGCATCATAATAATTTTTTTTTCACATCTAAAATTTTTTTTTCTAAATTTTTAAGTTCTCACGTTACAAATAAATGATTTAAAAAAAAAAAAAATCGGGAAGTCATTGGTTCCAAGCCAATTTTCGAAAATCAAGTTCTAATCTGATCTCCACATTTTTAAGGTCCTAAGAAG